GCTTCAAATCAGGTAACACAGATGTTAGGACATTCCTGTTTGTCAGAGTGAACTAAACCCTCCAGGGACCCAGCACAGTGAATGTGTGTGTGATAGCTCTTTCAAAGACACTTGTTCAACAAATGAAGGCATCTGGTTCCTCCACGATGAAGACTCAGGAAATGATAAACGATGATGTTTGATAAAGGGACAAGCTGTTTTCTGAATGCTGGAACAAGAAAGTACATGGGAAAATAAGGCAAGAAGCCAAGATAGATTAGGGGAAAGATTTGTAATGCTCTGTTTAAACCAAAGCAGACATGCCCTGACGTGTCGACCTTGAGGTTTTGGAAGCTGGGGGTGGGAGGAGTGATAGAAGCCACAAGCCATCATTTTAAGAAACTCATGGAGGGCTGGAGAAAGTCTGGAAATTCTGAAGGAACTTTGAGAGGAAAATACAGTTCTGGAAATTTCATCTGGGAGCCCACTGTGTTGTTTATTGCACTAGGGGCTGGCAAATTTCAAGGGGTTGGGTTGTCTTCTCCATCTTAGTCTCAATGACAGTCTTTATGTTCCCTGAGGATAGGAACTAAGCCTTAGTCACTTCTATTCCCTCACTTCCTACAGATGCTCAATAAGCATGTTCTGACCTCAGAGCCTTGTGGAAAGCAAGCCACAGGTCAACTTCTATGAATTCAGACCTGGATGTTGACAGGAGACTGAGTTTTGCTGCCTGGGGAACTTCTGTAGATCCCTGCAATGAAAAAGATGACTTTTGCCTCTTTCCTCATTTTATTTCCTGCTCAACTTATTATGAAATGAAACGCCACAGGAAATGGGAGCTTTCAATGGTACACTCTGTTCTCTCATCCTATTCTCCATTGGTGGAGGAAGAGGAAGAAACGGTGTGCTTGGAATGAGAATACTGAGCTCCTGCAATGACTCTCATTGTGGGGACTGAACACAATCAGAAATGGTAAAGAGACATAAACTGATCCCCACCGGATCTTTGGGGGAAATTATTTTCAACATCGAGACAATAACAGCACTATTTTGATAGGTGATGTTCTACGTGATAAACGCACATATGTTCCATAAAGCCTTTTTCTAATCATGGCCCCTTAGCAACTGGGATTTATTGCAGAAGTTGCTACATTTGAAATTTAATACAACTCTTAAGCTTAGTAATGCTTTTACAATTCATTACAATTACTTTTCGTAAGAAAAAATAAACTTTTGCAATTGTTAAGCAAAGTTGGATTAAAATTATCACATTGGTAGCCACTCAACCCTAACGAAGATGAAGGCTCGTGTTCTGCTAAGGGCTTTGGACGGCTTCCATGGTGCCAAGTCCACAGAAGCATCTTGGTGAAAGCCTGGTGCATAAGCGGACAGACAGCAGTGCAGCATGGCCGGTGTGTGCTGGCGAAGGAGCAGAGGTGGCGGGAAAGGCACTATTGCCCAAGACTGGAAAAGTGAGCAGGGTTCCCATCTCAGGGCCTTGTAAGCTGTATTGGAACCATGTCCTAAAATCAGTGACGTTTTAAGCAAAGGTGTGGGGTGCTCAGGCTCTAAGGTGGCCCTCGATAATCCCCATCTCCCTGGTCCTCACAGCTTGGTCTAGTATTCCCCCAAAGCCAATTATGACTGTAGCGTGGATGTAGTGACTTAATTCTGACAAACAGAATATGGCCAAGTGATGGGTAGTCACTCCTGAGATTTGGTTATAAAACGACTGCGGCTTCTGTCTCAGGTGCTCTCACACACACACTCTCTCTCTCTCTCTCTCTGTGTAATTGGTCCCTTCATCTGGGGGAAGTAGGCTGTTGAGCTGTGAGCACCCCAGTGGGAAGATGCAGGTGGTAAGGGATCGATGTCTCCAGCCAGCATCCAGGAGGATCTGGAACAGACCACAGCCCCAAGAGCGAACCAGACGCTGACTTTCTCCTAACCAAGCCCTGGGATGACCACAGCCCTGGCCAACATCGAACTGCACCCTCAGAAGAAATCCTGAGGCAGAACCACTCAGCTAAACCACGCTGGTATTTCTGACCCTCAGAAGCTGTGAGACAATAAATGTTGTTTTCAGCTGCTAGATTTGAGATAATTTGTTATGCATCAATAGACAACAAATACACATAGCCTATTATTTGTATGTTTAAAGAATGTCCCTGGCACCTTGTAAAGAATGGGAACCATGGGGCTGGTGCCTAGATAAGGCCAGTGACATCAGTGTAGCAGGAGGCAGGAACCGTAGGAAGGCTGGGTACCATCCTGAAAAGGTTGATTTGAAGATGCTTTGAACATCTAGGTGGAGATACCTGGTGGGTAGGTGGAGATGTGAGTCTGAAATTCCAGAGGACAGTCTATAGCTGGAGCTACAGATTTTGCAGTTTTAGTAGAATTTAGGTGGAAAAGAACAGAGGGAAAAAGTGCAGGCTCCAGGCAAGAGGAATTTACTTGGAGTGCCTCAGCTTCCCAGCCTGAAAACAACAGGTTTGTTAAGTGCATACATTAGATACCATGTAAAGTACCTAGAATTGGACCCCGGCACATGGTAAATATTCAGAATTGGACGTTATTAATTACCATCTTTGGAGAAAAGAGAATTTCCAGTGGCAGGATGGCACAGGAGTTGAACATAAATCAGTTTTCAGTCACACTCATTTTATGCTTTGGTTTTCTCTTCTACGACGTAGCTATCTATCAAGAGAAATCTACTGTATAATAAATTATCAGATCTGGCCAGATGTGGTGGCTCACACCTGTAATCCCAGCACTTTAAGAGACCAAGGCAAGAGGATCTTGAGCCCAGGAGTTCAAGACCAGGCTGAGCAACATGAAGAAACCCCATCTCTACAAAAAATACAAAAATTAGCCGGGTGTGGTGGCCGGCACTTGCTTTCCCAGCTACTCAGGAGGCCGAGGTGGGAGGATGGCTTGAGCCTGGGAGGTGGAGTTTGCAGTGAGCCAGGATAGGGCCACTGCACTCCAGCCTGAGCAACAGAATGATACTTTGTCTAAAAAAAAATTAAATAATATATTTTAAAAAGAACTCCCAGATCTGTTTATGACAGGAAAATGTAAATAAAGCATGCTATAGCTGTAGTTTCAGGATCCAAGATAAATTCATTAGGAAAAAAAAGGTTTCAAAATACTTTCTCTACCAGAATGAAAAGTCAAATTTTTTTTTTTTTTTTTTTTTTTGATATAGAGTCTTGTTCTGTCACCCAAGCCAGGGAGCAGTGGCGTGATCTTGGCTCACTACAACTTCCACCTCCTGGGTTCAAGTGATTCTCTTGCCTCAGCCTCCTGAGTAGCTAGGATTACAGGCACCGCCACCGTGACCGGCTAATTTTTTTCGGTATTTTTGTAGAGATGGGGTTTCACCACATTGGCCAGGCTAGTCTTGAACTCTGGACCTCAGATGATCCCCCCACCTCGGCCTCCCAAAGTGCTGGGATTACAGGCGTGAGCCTCTGTGCCCAGTCTAAAAGTCTTTTTTTTTTTTTTTTTTTTTTAAGGAGCAGTGAATGAAGAGCAAGTAGAGACGTTAACCTCTTTTGAGGCTTCCCAAACAGTGCCTTCAGGATCCTGAGCTAAGCAATTCTGACACAGTCAAGTTGGGACTAGAAAATCCTTCACACACATCAATCCCAGAGGGGAGACTTCTTTCCTTCATTCATCCTCTTTAATTAAAATGTGTGAAATGAGCACAGTAGCGGGCCCCCATCTTGTCTCCAGCCATTCACAAATATTTTAAACTGACGCCAAACAAAATCCAGATTGTGTTACCAGCCTCCCTGCCCCACAGTTGATAGATCTGACTGAGGACTTCATGCAGGGCGCTCCAGGCTGAGATGAGGGACAGCAACAGCTTAATTACTGGGCTTCGAACTTCATCAGAAATGTGTGCTTTGTTAGCCAAGAATGTTGTCCTAAAGCTGGGAGTAGCACATTTGTGTGAGAGAATAAATGAGAGGGAGTATGTATACCGCAAATGAAGCTGGCCGAAGCCATCAGGCCATCCGCAGGGATTCAGAAGAGGATGCACGCAGCAGCCACCTTGGGATCATTCCGCTTCCTTGGCCAGCGTTTGAATCCTTCTTGCTTCACACAACGGATAGTGTTCCATCTTTCACTGTCCCTGAAGTGTTAGCTGAGCACCTACTATAGGTTAGGCCCCATGTAAGGCGCAAAGAAACAAAGCTGTGTTTGTGTCTCTGAGCACAACTGTCTCCACCTTCAAGGGGCTCAGCTTAGTGAGGCCAGCATATTTGTCAGTAGATCATCTAAATAACAGAAAAGAGAACAACTGAAATGAAAATATTATAATAAATTAAATGTAACATATTAAGTTAATCAGAAATAGAACTGTGTTAAAGCAAACTAAATACGGCCTGAGAAGGACTCTGTACTTGTATATTTCAGTCCTTGTGGATGAACCACAACCTAACTTAACAGGTAGACAGGACTGAAAGCCTAACTTAGGAGCGCACCTGTAACAATAGCTGGGTTTTGGCCGATCCCAGCAGCCCTGCTTCAGCCACTCATACACTGCTGAGGGTTCAAATCAGGCAGACACCAACCTGTAACCAGCCCAGCTGTTTCTGTACCTCACTTCTGATTTCTGTTTGCCACTTTTCGTTTTTTGTCTGTAAATTTGGTCTGACCACAAGGCATCCCAGGGGGCTCTCTGAATCTGCTGTGATTCTGGGGACTGCTCGATTCATGAATCGCTTTTATTCTTGCTCAATTAGACTCCATTAAATTTAATTCGTCTGAAGTTTTCTTTTAACAAGAGGTAGGCGTGAGTGCTGTAGTATCCAGAGAAAAGAGTGATTCACTGGGAGAGTCAGTGTGCTCCAGAGAAACAGACCAATAGGGTGTGTGCGTGTGTGTGTGTGTGTGTGTGTGTGTGTCTGTAGGAATATACATACAGAGAGAGAAAGAGAGAGAGAGATTCCTTCTAAAGAATTGATGCGGCTGGGTGCAGTGGCTCACACCTGTAATCCCAGCACTTTGAGAGGCTGAGGTGAGCAGATCACCTGAGGTCAGGAGTTCAAGACCAGCCTGGCTAACATGGTGAAACGCTGTTTCTACTAAAAACACAAAAAGTTAGCTGGGCCTGTAATCCCAGCTACTTGGGAGGCTGAGGCCAGAGAACCACTTGAACCCAGGAGGTGGAGGTTGCAGTAAACCGATATCACACCATTGTACTCCAGCTTGGGCAACAAGAGCAAAACTCCATCTCAAAAAAAAAAAAAAGAAAGAGAGAATTGATGCTGGCATTTGTGGGGCTGGCAATTCTGAAATCTGTAGGACAGATTAACAGACTGGAAATACAGGTAAGAGCTAATGTTGCCATCTTGAGTCTGAAGTCTGCAGGGCAGCAGGCTGGAAGCTCAGGCATTGTTTCTATGCTACGGCCTTAAGGCAGAATTTCTTCTTCTTCTAGAACCTCAGTCTCTGCTCTTGAGGCCTTGAATTTACTGGATGAAGCCCCACGACTTTATGGAGGGTCATCTGTTTTGCTCAGTCTATGGATTTCAATGTTAATCACATCTAAGAATTGCCTTCAGCACACCTATAGACTGTGTTCTACCAGTATGTGGGTGAAACTGCCTTTGCAAAAATTATATTGGTGAGAAAAATTGTAACAATAAGCTAAGCTAACCCACCCCCTATCCCCCATCTTGCCTTTCCCTTAATTATTCCCAGGCTATTGGGCCAAGCTAACTTTGGAAGACATTTAGGCTACAGTTTAAATGATTAATAGGCCTTGCCCAAAAGCCAACTGCTTTTGTAAAGCTAATGGGAGGCCATCAGGCTGGGGGAGGAGGGAGCCGGAGTCCTGCTAAGGCACAGACACAAAGGATTGCCAGCCATTTTCCCGGAAGTTATAAGATATGCAGTTTTCCCAGTTACTTCTGCAAATAACATATTATAGATTGGCCTTTTGAGACGTCCTTCCAAGTTTTTTGCATGACTCCACCGGGACCACCAAGCCAGATCCTGCAGCCCCACCTAGAAGTGATTCAGCCTGCAGGAGGACAGCCTTGACCCTCCATGATTTCATCTCTGCCCCAACCAATCAGCAGCAAGCATCTGTTACCTGGCCACCCTCCTCCTTTCCCCTAAACTACCTTCGAAAAACCCCCTAACCTACGAGTTTCAGATGAGGTGATTTGAGGACCCACTCCATTTCCCACAAGGTATAGCTGGCCTCGAGTCTATTAAACTCTTTCTCTAGTGCAATGACATGGCCTTTTTTATGTATCAGGCAGGAAGAAACCCTTGGGCAGTGACATGGGTGACATTGCCTGCCAGGCTGGCACATACCTTCAACCTCCACATTCGAGGAGGCCTTCTCAGAGGAGGCATTCTCCTGTCTCAGTGTGGCTGACTTATTTGGGGATCCCAGGACGAAAAAGCAAGGGATGAGAAAAGTTAGCGAGCAAAACCAGTGGGGCCTGTGTTCTCCAACAGGTTGTCACCATGGGCTACAGGACCACGGTCCTGCTGGGGACCTTCTGTGGCCCAGGGGCATTGCATTACAGCAAGCTGATGAGAGGGGGCCTGCACGGCTAGCACAGTGGCCTCATCCTAAGCGTAAGCCCCAATCCATGTTAAAGAACACTGTCATTTTACATTACAAGTGCTGGTGACTTAACCCTGTGTTCCTGCTGTGGCCTGTGACATCCCCAATGGTGGCTCCTGGTCATCTCAGTCTGGCTGAAGTGCCCTAGCGTGGGCCAAGAGAGTTCCTAGTGAGATGGGAGAAACCCTGGGCACCGCAGCAGAAAGACACAGGCGGGAGGTGGGGAGGGGCAGAACGTCAGCACGTTTGGGAGGTGGGGAGGAGGACGTCAGCCTCTGCTCAGCCATGGGCCAGGGAGAGTTGGGTACATACATTATAGCTACCATATAAAGTACCTAGAAATGAACCCGGCAAAATATTCAGAAGTGGCCATTATTAATTGACATCTTTGGAGAAAAGAGAATTTCCAGTGGCAGAATGGCCACTGGTGCGGGGGTGGGGGTGGGAGTGGGGGTAAGGCATTCACATCTTCTGCCAGCCACTCCCAGCTCTGCCACTTCATGTATGACTTTGGGCAAACTAACTAACCACTCCAAGCTTCAGTTTTCTTACAATGGGTAGACTTGACAATGAACACGTTTGTGCTCAGAAAGTGCTGAGAACAAGGCTGAACTTCAAGTCAGCCTCCTCTCTCCACCCAGCACCAGGCTCAGCAGTCTGGATTTACCCCATTCCTAAGACCACTCGGCTTCCCTTTAGGGTCCGAAAGATTTGAAGTGGTCTGTCTGCGGGGTCACTGTGACACAGCTGTCCCGTCACCAGAGTGGCCTCTCACTCATGATTCATTTTCTCAAAAAGACAGGCACACATGACAGCGGGGGCTGGAGGGCCGTGGCAGGGCAGAGGGGGGGATTTCTCAGTTCTCCAGCGTCAAGTCTGGTTTTGATGTAAATGTCTCCCAGCCCGTTTCCCACATGACTGACCCCCACGCACAGTCTTATCTTTGAATGACTCATGCCTTGGGTTCAAAAGTGAGCATTTTTACCATAACCTTCCCATAACCTCCGTATAGGTTCAATTGTCCTTGGATGATGCCATTGCTGGGAAACAGGAGGCGGTTCCTCCCGTCTGGCCCAGACTGTTGAGACTTTCCTGGCAGTGTCCTGCTCCCTGTGTGCCCCTCACTTGATCCAGGGCTTGCAGGTCAAATGTTACACCCTCCTCCTGTGGTTGGCGCCATGGTCCAGTCCTCTGCCCTCCACAGCGGACACCCTTGGCCCCGTGCCCAGGTTCTGAGCTGTGGGCATGCTCATTCCAGTGACTGCTCCTCCCTCCTTGATCCGGGTGGTGACAGGGGTCTTAGGAAAAAGAGTTTTCGTGACAATTTTAGCTGACATTTACTGAGCACTGAATGCCAGCACAGAATTAAGTGGCTCATTGGATCCTCACAGAGATCCTTGTGAGGCTTTGCCCCATTTGGCGGATAAGGAAACTAAGGCCAGAGAGGTTTTGTAGCTCAGCTTGTATCATATATTCATGCCCATGAAGTCTGACTCCCGAATCTGCACCCTAATTTTCTGTGTCTCACTCCTCCTGTCTCTTTGCACATCCAAACGTCTCCCTGGATGAGGTTCATTAAGCCAGCAGTGGGCCTGACCCAGCAGAGGAAGAGTCTTTTGTCTGCAGATTTAGAATTGGGACCGGAAGTGTGTGTGTGAGAGAGAGAAAGAGCCCTCGTGGTTGAACCCGAGATGTGAGAATTGGGATTACCTCTTTCCTCAGTACTGTTCTAGAGACTGAAGAACCTACCTCCCAGGATTGGAGCACAGACACGAGGGTGAAGGCCGAGGGTACAGGGCTCCAGCCCTCCCCGGCCCACTGCATTGCCAGCCTTGAATCCATACAACATCCTGGGATACAGGGCCACATTTTCACCTTGAAAGGCCCCAAAACCAGAGAAGACAAGTCCTCCTGAGTCCTCCATTAGCTGCTAAAAATGACGCTGAATCACACACTAAGCTTTTTTAAATGTTTCTTTAAGATCGATTCAATGAGAGTTTTTAATGTTATCTTTCTAGAGACAGAAGGACAATGTGAACAGGGAAACACTGCAAATGAGAAAAGCGATGTACTGAGGACTGGATTAGGGCTTTAGCACCTCACATGCTGTTGGAGGAGGTATGATCAACAGGTTTCGTTGTATTGCACACACATAGGATGTCTCACAAATATTTAGAAAAAAGAGCAGTCAATGTCATGACCACAATGACCACATAAGCAAGTTTGCTGGTGCCGTGAAAGGTGCCGATGAGCAATCTCTCCGAAGACTGAGCAACATCTGTGCCTGCAGCTGCAGAACAGTGTCCCCCATGTCACTCAACTCACACAGAGCCTCAGGAAGGCCTTATTGCAAAGGACTGAACTCAGTCATCGTGTCTGTGTTCATTTCCTAGGGCTGCCATAACAAATGACCGCAGATTGGGTGGCTTCAAACTACAGAAATTTCTTTTTTTTTTTTTGAGACGGAGTCTCGCTCTGTCATCCACATTGGAGTGCAGTGGTGCATTCGCGGCTCACTGCAACCTCCGACTCCCTGGTTCAAGTGATTCTCCTGCCTCAGCCTCCCCAGAAGCTGGGATTACAGGCACGTGCCACCACACCTAGCTAAATTTTTTTGGTATTTTTAGTAGAGACGGGGTTTCACCATGTTGGCCGGGATGGTCTCGATCTCCTGACCTCATGATCCACCCCCCTCAGCCTCCCAAAGTGCTGGGATTACAGGTGTGAGCCACCGTGCCCGGCCCAGGAATTTCTTGTTTCCCAGTTCTGGAAGCCAGAAGTCTGCAAGCAAGGTGTGAGCAGACCCATGCTCTCTCCGAAGGCTCCAAGGGAGAATCCACTCCTGCCTTTCTCTTAGCTTCAGGTGGTTGCTGGCAATCCCTGGCCTGTAGACACTTCACTCTAACCTCTATCACCTGGCATCTGCCCCTGTGAGTCTTCACGGTGTCTTCCCTCTGCCATGTCTGTCTGTATCTTCTCTTCTAGCATGGACATTAGTGTTATTGGACTAGAGCCCACCCTAATGGCCTCATCTTAACTTGATTACATCTTGCAAAGACTCTATCTCTGAAAAGGGTTGGGGGTTAGGATTTCAACATACTTTTGAGGGGGACACAATTCAATCCATGACAATGTCCAAACAGCCTCATCTTCTCCATCCTTGCTCCCCTAACTCTTAGTGAGAGCCCAAGGCTGCAGCTGTTCCATTTCCCACGGGTCCTTGCAGGTCTGGCTTTCCCCACCACCCCTTGCACACTCTGGACTCAGCCAAAGTCAGTGTCTGTGTTTCCAGGTTCTTTCCTGTGAGCTTCCTTCCTCCTCAGTGGCTTCCTGCCACCCTTCAATGGCCCACTCAGAGGCCACTTCTCTGAAGCCAAAGCCAGGAGGGACTCTGGAAAGCTCTGAGAGCTCTGGCTCACTTCTGAGTCA